TGGTGAAAGGGGGGCCTGCAGGCCCCATCCTGCTCTTTGCCGTGTGGGGAAGAGGTTCTTCCCGGGGAAAATCTTTATACCAGGTTGGGACAGTTGGCTAAGAACTGCCCAGTAGGGGTCTTGGGCTGTAAGCTGTCCTGCAGCAAAAAGATCCGGACCTCAGGCTCCCCTCAGCCCAATGCAGCTCCCACGTCGAGGGTCAGGGGGACCCCGAAGCCGCGTCCTTACTACAGCCCGCCACCGGGGCAGGTGCCCCCACCCTGGCCCCTCGCTGGGCCCCAGGCTCACCCCTGGCGCTCGCCCCCTGCCCACGTGGGGTCTCCACCCTGGGGGCGGCCCTCCCGGCCCAGGAAGGAAGCAGGAAGGCGCTCTCTACCCCGTATTTACACTGGCGCGATTTGACTCCGTGCTGGAAGCGGCACTGTTCATCCGCGTCGTAGGCCTGGCCAGGTGCCACTGTGGGGTACACGAAGTCCTGTCTGGGGGGCCGGTTGTTCAGGCAGAGCCCCAGGCCCGAGCTGTGGCAGAGGGCGCAGCTGTCACGCGGGAGTCTGCGGGCCTGGGGCCCCGGGGCCCCTCCAACCCCAGCGGGACCTCTGAGCCGCGGGGCGGCACGTGCTCACTCCAGGAAGCTGGTGATGTAGTCGCGGCTGCACGACGACCACACGAAGGGGTTGGTCTTCATGGTGATGTGCGCGGCCATGAGCTTCGCGGGGTCCTGGCCCCGCGCCCCGCAGCTGTTCCCCACGCCGTCGTGGTTCATGCCAAACCTGGGCAGACAGCCAGGTCTGCAGGGCTTAGGGACCGAGCCCGGCCCCCGGCCTCCAGGCCCCGCCCAGGCCCCCGGCCCCGCCCCCCGGCCCGGCCTCACGTGTGTCCGATCTCGTGCGCGATGGTGAAGGCGGTGGCCAGGCCGATGTCCTCGTTGATGCTGCAGCTCCTCTCTCGCTCGCACATCCCGCCCACGGGGGCCAGGCCTGGGGGCAGCACCGGGGGCTGGGGCTCAGGGCTGCGGGCCCGCCCCACCCCGCGGGCCTCCCCCGCCCAGCGTGGGCACCGGGGAGTACCTAGCGTGCCACAGGGCTTGTTCTTGTAGATGCAGATGTCGTAGCTGTGAGAGGGAGCGGGAGTGAGGGGCTGCCCGCCCCAGCCCTGCTGCCCGCGCCCTATCGGGCCCCGCTGGAGAGGGTCGGCGGGCTTCAGGTGCTGGGCTGCATGGCTGACCGAAGGAACGTGAGCGCACAAGTGGCTCCAAGCCCCCGCACCCCGGTCTCAGAGTCCAGCAGCCCCCGCC